AAAAAAAAAAAAAAAAAAAAAAAAAAAAGAACGAGTGGGAGCACTGAGCTTATTTTCCTCAAACCAAATGGTCGCATTTGTTGGTAATGGGAGACATGACTCTTTAAATCTGTTGCTCATGTCCTGTCTGCTCCATAATCTTGATTTGTTGGGTGTCTTCGGAGGACATTCTGTTTCACAAAGAACAGATGTTGTAAATGGAAGCAAGCTCATCATTGCTTTTGTTGCAATCTCAGTATATTCCATCTTGATCTTCATTCAGAATTTGTTAAGATTTGAAGTTGTCTCAAACATAATTTTAAGGTGAATTATTTGCCATCTCAATCAGATGATTCTCTTTTAGCATGCATAAAGTTGTATCACCTACCTTATTCTCAGATGGGCAGTGGGTCCACTCTTTCTCAATTTGAGGGGCTTTTTATTTGAGAAATAATGCTTAAATTCTTTTGTACACTGAGATAGGTGATCATGAGCAGGGAGAAGAAAGCTCTAGCTCTGTACTTTTTCTAAATCTCTGTTAATGTTTGAAACATGTTAAATATTCCAATGTTTACTCATTGCTCACATATTTCCAGTTTTGCTTCAAACACAGTCATTTTCTCTGCTGACTTGAATATTGCTGTTTCTCCCTTGATGTGACAGACTGAGTTTATTGAGCGGGTTGAGTATGTCACATAAGCAAGTAAGTTTTGGTACCTTACCAGTGTCACTGAAATGTGCTGCCTATGGTTGCTGTTATTCTCAAACAAATCTCTAAAGCAGCTCTTGTAGCTGAAAAACCCTAGCCAGTGATATATCTTTAGAAATCATCTCCCCTCCGTGTGGAAGAGAGGGCATGTATGTTCTGTGTCTATGTCCTCAAAGAGCTTCAGGCACAGACATGAGGTAAGAGCATGAACTTAATGTGCTTGCTAATTTTATCACACTGGAAAACATTGTGCAGTTCAGGTGACACTGTTTGACCAATCAGCCTTTCTCTGGATCACACAGTACACAGATTCACATGAAGAAGTGACTTCTGTGACACATCACTCAAACACATGAGTAGTTCTGCAGCAACTATTTTGGATGGCAAGAAAAGTGAACATAGCATACCTTCAGGTACATCATCCTGAAAAATAAATTGCATGAAAATCGTCAGTATTGCTGTGTTGTCAGGATCAGGTGGTGACTCCTGATGTGTAACAGGACCTCATTAATCCTCTGTACTGTTCCTCAATATCCCCTGCTACTCCTCAACTTGTCTATAAATGATGCTAGCCAAATGAGGAGCACATGCCACCATCTGAATGCAGTCTGATTTATAAGTCCTTGAGAAATGTCTTTAGCAGCAGGCAGAATCAGCTCTTTATCAACATTGAAGATCTTTTCTGTCAGCTTTAGCAGTGTGATCAGCCACTAAGAATGATGTTCTCAGGGCAGACATGTTTGGTGAAGTGGTGCCCTCTGCAATTGATCCTTTTTTTCATGTTCACATTTTTTCTTTTGAAGCACTCCAAACCTTCTTTGTATATTTCAGCTTTTTGGTCTTCATGTGGCAAAGCAGTTTTGAGATTTCATAGCTTAGTTGGATAGCCATTCACCACATACTATACACAGTGGAATTTGAGAATGTAAATCCCTTCTCTCAATGAAACCATAATTTAAGTAGGACACTTTGTATTTTCTTTTTCTTTTTTAAAATCTTACTGAGTTTATTGGTACTTTTCAAGTAAACAGTATAGTTACATTCATCATTGGGATCTTGTACCGTTACATGACAGATCTTGGTTCTCCTTTTTTCCCATTCCCCTGCTCTCCCTATTTTTTCTTTTAAATGCAGTTTTCTTTCTGTTTGAAATCTTGAGTTTTCTGATGTTTCATCTTTAGATTTTCCCCTTTTCAGAACAGCTGTTTAGGCATTTTTTTAACTTATTCTTTATGGTTAGCGTTAGCTTGTGAGCTGACCAAAAGTGTATGTGAGACAAGTACACAGTTCAGGAAAGAAACAGAGTTTGAAGTGTTAAATAGAAGAGGGGCCATGTGTAGACTACAGTGAGTGTTGGATTTGACTTAAGGTCTGCATCCAGATGCAGCTGACAAGTTAAAGGACATGAATTCACAGCCTCTTTAAATTCTGACACCACATACAGCTTTATTTTGATTTGCCACTTACTGGTAATGTTTTTATGTGAGTCTGCAAGCAATTGATCTATCATGGTCTCTACAGTCAAACCTCTGGTAAGGTTCATCTGATTTTGCAGCTGCTCCCCAGTGCTAACCTCACTGCTTCAGCTCCAGCTGAGACCATCGGGCTTTACATTCTGACAGAGAGCAAGCCACCCAGATCCCTCACATGAGCACTCCACAGTAGGGTTCATGCTCCACGAAGAATCTAATGACATGCAGATCTGATAGGAGCCAGAGTGCTGCTGGTCATGGCAGAGATGCTGAGCACTGTAGACACAGATGAAGGTTCAATAGATCCCATTCTGTGCACCTACTTTTGCCCTGCTTTTCTCCTATAATACCATGGGATGGCGCAGTCTGTGGTTTGAGAGTTAGGGACCCCTGATTTTTGTAATATGAGATTCATCCATGTTGAAGTTGTCATACTTTCCGATCATTTTAAAATTAGAGTACACAGTTTTGCAGGGTACATGAATCTGGGTGGGAGGTTGTTTTCCTTTATGTTATTAATACATTTTGCTTATGCATTCATCTGTCAGTGCAGCTTCACAAGCTTCCATATTTTTGTGGGTACACCTGCACAAGCCCAAGGCCCACCAAGAAAAGTGCTCCACACGTGCACAAGCTTCAGCCAGAGGCCCACCATTGGACATAGCCAAAGACCCACCTGGAAAAGAGCTACACAGGCACACAAGCAATAGTCAGAGGCTTGCCCCAATACCATTGATAAGTGTGTGGAGACCTTAGCCAGAAGCCTGAACCAAAAACAGGAAGTGCAGTGCACAGTCCCCAGTCAAAGACCCTACCAGATAACATCTACATAGGGGCCCAAGGGAGAGGCACACCTAGATACCATGGCAAGTGTGCTCAGACCACAGCCAGAAGATGGCCCAGACAACAGGTCAGCTCAGGGGTCCAGAAGGTCACCATTCTGAACTCAGGAATTGGTGTACTGGTGACCAGCAGAGTAAAGGCTGTTTGATGCTTGCTGAGAATTAAAGACCACTGGGCGAGGAAAAAGTCACCTCAGCAATGGCACAGCCGCTGAATCTGTTGAAATGAGAAGGCATGGAAATAAGTCTCAAAACCAGATTTCCAGATCACCTAAGGCAACTCCAAAGAGCAATAATATAGAATAATCTGTCATTCAATCACCTGGACTCCTGAGACTGGCAATGAAAGAGTACCTGGAAAAAATGAAATCAGGAATATTTTCTCAGATAATGGCTGAGATTGTGCACATAGTACAAGACGTGATTAATAAATCTAGAGTGGACACAGATAAAAAAATAGAGGGGCAGAAAAACATGATAGAATTCCAACATAGGAAACGAATGGAATCCATAAAACAGATGCAAGCAGAATTCCAGGAAATTAAAAGCTCCACTGATAGTTTATGAATCAGAATGAACCAATGTG